ACTTAGACCATTTTCTATCTGAGCAGCTGGTATCCACTTAAAACTTCAAATACCAAATATCATACAATTTCGTTGAACAAACAACAAAACCGCTTAATATTGGGAAGAACTCTTATATGTGGGTGGCTATACGAAAACGTTGACCAATATGCCCCATTTTCAATTAAATAACAATTTTAGACATGCATATGGATGTGACCAAATATTTGGTTGATCCCCTCGAAACTTAGAGTTATTACCACAGACACGTTTAAATCGTCTTAGAAGTTTACCCTGACCAAGCATATTATTTCGCAGAGTTACAAAATGGAATGACAAACTTAGTATTCCCTCCATTCTAGGTAGAGTGGAGGGTATAGCAATGAAGAGCCTTGACGTTAAACACAAATTCAACACTAGTGTTCTAAAAATCGGTTAACTGAATTTTATACTTATTTTTTGGATCTTGGCGGTAGTTTACTGAATATTTACTTCCCACGACATGTCCATGTTGAAATAAGGGGCTAAGATACTTAAGCTCATTGTTTAGTAATGAGAACTTTTGTGGGGTAGTTCCCCACAAATGTTGGAGACTGGAATCGTATTTGAATTAAATCTACTTTCGTGATTTTCAATTTTTCAAAATCTCTAATTACTTAACTAATTCTCTTTGCACATAGCCCCACATAAATTGTGAAAAGTATCGATTAGCCTTTATTTGTGGTGACACGAAGGAAAAACGGTCACGCACAATGACATTATCGGCAAATATTGTCAAAGCCTCATTATTTCCCAAAAACGCATAGTCGAATATCATTGCCATCATCTTCAGATGATAATGCGTCCGCATTCTCAATCAAAATATGATCCGAAATGGTCATAAATAACTTATACGACACACACACATCGCCTCGTCGATGCCATCATCCGCCCATTGGGGTGTGCACCCACTCTCAGTGATTGCCGCTGAATGGATGTCGTTGTCCAATCACCTCGCCGAATGCTACGTTTCTATTGACGATCTGCGTTCGCTGCTCGTCTTCCTGTCATTCGATGACATTTGTCGATCATAAAAAATACATTTAACCGACAACAAAAACAACAACATCAAGTAATTTGGAATAGTTTTGGGTATAGAGATCTCCCCTGGAATAGACAGCATTCGTTTCAGATTTTTGTAAAAAATATAAATATTTGCGGATGTTTTCGGGGGGGTAGGTTGGGTAAATGGAAATCTATGTTCCCCTTGCACGAATGACATTAACAGAATCATGGCAAAAGTGTTTTCTTTTTTTTGGGTTTGTTGTTGAAATAACCGAGGCGTCATTCAGGCATGGAAAACAAGTTGTGTTGTGCGTCTGTGAAATCGTAATGTTGTCTTCTGTTTGTCATAACATGAGCCCCCCGACAAGCTCTTTGAAACAACTGTTGTTTTACGAATTTATGATTTGTCTTGAATTCCATTTTCCGCAGTTTTCTTCGTTAGGGTGGGACATTCTTACGCCCTCAAACTTATGGATACAGGGGTCACAATACGGTCAAAATGTGTCTCAAGGAAATAATGGTTTCAGACCCGATTTCTCTTTGGAAGAAATTCGTTTCAGAACATTAGGAGTTGTTTGTTAATATCCGCCGGTCTCTACGCCAAAGGGAATATCTATTTTATTTATTCCGAACTTCGTACATCGTAATACATTTTTCAAACTTGGATCAAATTCCTAGAAGGTACATGTACACGTCGGTACATTCCTTCTGGAAAGGAAAGTCCCAAACTCAGCACATGGTCATAATTAAAGCAGGTTTTGTTCAGAAGCGTAAATGGACGATATTTGAGCTCTGTTTCTTGTGTCTCTCCCACAACAGATCAAAGTTTTGAAAAATAATAAAAAAAAAACCTCCGGGAAAGTTGAAATCAGTGTCAGATTTTGTTTATATTATAGGGTGAGAAAAAAAACTCCAACAAAGTCAAACGCCATAATTTTTATACCCTACACCACAAGGTGGTCAGGGTATTATGTCTTTGTGCATTTGTTTGTAACAGGCAAAAGGAAACGAGAAAGGCCCATAGTTCTTTTTGAACTGAGACGATTTATGCATGTCCGTCCGTCCATCTGTCCATGAATTTTTGTAAACAAAGTACAGTTCGCATTTATTGCCCTATCCAGATGAAATTTTGCACATATCATTTTTTAGGCCCAAGGACGAACCCTATTGAAATTGGAGATGATCGGTCAAAATTTAGATATAGCTCCCATATATATCTTCGTCCGCTTTGCCTTTTATTGTGCACCAAACGTGTAATATCAGTCCGAATAGTCTGGAATTTTGCACGTACGATCAGATTGGACCTGAAAATAAGTATGCCAAATTTGATCGAAATCGGTTCAGATATAGCTATAGTTCCCATATATATTGTTCATCCGATTTGTTATTTTAGTCCTCCGCAGCCGTAATATGCACTTTGTAACAACAATATTTGCTGAAATATATCAAATGCAGCTCAGAAATACCTTTGTTAAATTTTATCGAGATCGGTTCAGATTTGGATATAGCTCCCATATATAACTTCGTCCGATTTACTTTTTATTGTGCACCAAACGTCTAATATTTGTCCAAATGGGAAGGAATTTGGCACTTACGGCCGAATTGAGTGTAGAAGCTAGTATGTCAAATCGGTTCAGATATAGTTATAGCTCCCATATATACTGTTAATCCGATTTGTTATATTTGTTACCCACAGCCGTAATATGCTCTCCATAACAACGGCATTTAGGGAAATATATTAAATACAGCTCAGAAATATCTTTGCCAAATTTTATCTTGCTTGAGGTGATCGACACTTTGGTATTTTTTAGTGCCAACCTTGCTTTCCAAAATACTCCAGACACAATAGTCCAACGGATTGATATCCGGAGATTTCGGTGGTCATTGTGCGCTGGTAGTGAAGCGAGGAACCTTATTTTGTAACCGTTCTTGGGTGGCGCGTGCTGAGTGCGATGGTGCTTAGTCCTGTTGGAATGGCTTTATGGAGAGGGATTTAATACACCCTCCAGCATATTTTCGCGATAATATTTGGCATTTATTCTGATGCCATGGTCGATTAATACGAGCGAAGAGGGACCATCGGCTGTTATGGCGGTCCAAACCATCACAATGGTCGGCGCTTGAGTTCTGGTGGCCAACCGAAGGTGCATATTTTCGGCTGACCTCTTTGGTAAGTAAACACGATCATTTTGTTTGTTTACAAACTGCTGGACAACGAATGTTTTCTTATCGGAGAAAACCAAATTCGGCAGTTCACCACTTTCGGCCAAGCGAAGGAACTCTTTAGCTCTTTTGAGTCTATTTTCTTTTTGTTGCACTTTTTGAAATTTTAAAGGGTTATACCGAGCTCTTTTTTTAATATTTGCCGAATGGAATATTGGGATATATTCAGTTCACAAGCCATTTTTCGGCCACTGCGATGCGGATTTCGACCAACTCGCTTCTTTACTTTCCAAACCATTTCTGCTGATGTTGCTGTTTTCTTCCGTCCACTTTCTTGACGTCGGGCTACGCTACCAGCGATGGTACGAGACACAAAAGATTTATTCACATTTAAATGCTGGAGTGTGGTTGTGGTTTTCCAGCCAAATATAAAGAAATCACACTATCACCCTTTAATTCCATCAGGAATAACTTTTTTTCTGGAAAATTCTCACCAAAATGCTTTTGTACGCTTGTAAACAATATAATGAGCTGTTACTGGAAAAATTTTAATAGCTGTCGGACGAGTGGCTTAGAAATGACAGCAGTCTGAAGTTGGTTGCAGTTTCTTCATCTCACTCTGTATATATGTTAGTTATAGAGTGGCTTAGAAATGACAGCAGTCTGAAGTTGGTTGTAGTTTTTCCATCTCACCCTGTACATACAATGTTCTCCCACCCTAGCTAAATCCCATTTCGAAATACAAATACGAAATTGGGGACAAATCCGTTAGAAAAAGTAGCTTAAATCGTCAGAATACCGAAAATCGGGAGGTACCAATATATGGGGGTTATACTAATTAGTGGACCTGTATCGAATTTTTTGTAGTCAGGAGAGAGCCGACCTTTCAAAGACCCCAATTGTCAAGATTCATCTAATTTGGTTGGAAATTGTGGTAGAAACCTTCAAAATACCGAAAATCCGGAGATGCCGTTATATGGGGGCATACCCGAACGTGGACCAATATAGCCCATTTTCAATATTAATCAGTCTGCGTATAATAAAAACCTTTGTGCCAAATTTAAAATCTCTAGATTAAATAATGTGGACTCTATCGTGATTTTAACACACAGACATAAGTACGGACGGATCCAACAGAGGGACATCGCTGCATCGCCTTCTAATTTTATTCTTATCAGGAATAATACATACTTTTTTAGATCTCCGACGAAGATTTCGAAAATGTTGCTAACGGAATGACAAATTTGGTGGAGGGTATAAAAATCGAGAAAATTTAACTATTCGATGTTGCTTGAATATGAGTGAGCGTATTTTCCTCATTTTTGAGTGAGACCAAAATTCGCTTAAATTCGAGCAGATTCTACTCCTGCTAAGCACTCTTTTATTTTTTCTCATTTCTCATATCATTGTATTTTTATGTATGTGTATTTTTCTGTACTCTTCATCGCTTTGACACTGAAAATGAGCTGGAATGAGGTCCAGTTTTCATTTAGCCCCCATCTAACCTCACCTCACAAGGTTTTGTATTTTGCTGACTTTTATCCACTTTTTCTATGGAATTGTTTCAAAATTGGTGTTTGAAACTCATAATAGATAGTGACAGAAAATTTATTGACGGTATCCATCGGTATCCATCAACATTATGGTATTTTGAAGACTCCATTATTTTTTTTATTTTATATATAATTTTAATTTTTTTTATACAAAGTTTTTCTTTACTTCGGACCGGCCGAACTTTTCGCTTTTGTATAGCCCATTTTTCTTTTAATTAAAATGATGACGTATATTGTTTAACTTAGACATTTTCCACTCACCTCTTCGTGCCAATGCATGGGCAGGCATTATTTGCATTTGGGTATAACCGCGTCCAGAACTGGTATCCAAAATTGTCATAACCTCATCCGGTGTATACGATGAATTTTCAATACTAATATCATCAATGGAAAGTACTTGATCGCCAACGGAAAGAGCACCGCATCTAAGAAAGAGACAAATACAAAATAAAAGCAAAAAAAAAATATTGAAACCATGAAAATTATAAGAGATTTTCTGAAATCCTCTTCTAAAAAAATAACAGTCGAATTATTCCCCAACTTTTATATTCTTACCATTTCAATAAATAGATTTTTCTCTCCATTAAAAGAAGTGATTGAATTTGTAACTTACCGATCAGCAATGCTCGCTGGCAAAATACTGGCAATATAGACACCCGCCTGACTAACTTCATCGATTTTCGTGTGATCCGCCAGACCGGCTGCGGCTGAATTATAATTACACAACACCAAACCCAATTTGTCGTTCATGGGACGTTCGATCTCGATTAACAGAGGTCCCATAGAGAATTCAACACTTTGCACCACCGACACATCGTATTCAATGGTTAGATTTGTATAACCCGAAATGTGACCACCACATTTGATGATCTGTTGCGCTTCGGCCAATGTTTTGCCAATGAGAGAAACCTGAAAAGGAAATAAATATTAAGGCATATCAAGTGTATGTCAATTGGATAGAAGGTCTATTAGGGGCCTCAGTTGTACAGAAGATTACTGGAAGTTCCTTAAGTGGTAAAATGACTATTAAAGGCCATACAGCTGTCGAATAACCCATACCTGTACAAGACCGTTAAAAGGTGGTCAACTTATAAAAGGCCTTCCATTTCTGGAAAATATTGCTAAAAAACTTCTTAAAGATCCTACATATATATCCATGCTATATATAAGATCTATTAAAAGTCCTCTAGATCAGTTCTTTTTATAAATCGAAGATTTTTGAAAATGTTCTACCTATAGAAGTTCTCTTGAATGTCTTCAATCAATGAAATACCTTTTAAAGACCTTCTCATTTGAGGGAAATCTCATGAGGGTGTTTTACGTATTGAATACTATATGAGTGCTTTTCATCGCTAGAAGTATTATTACTGCAGATCATTTGTCCACAAAAGATTTTTCGAAGTCTTCTATCAGTAGAAGGCCTATTAAAGGTCTTCTAAATTTAAATATACATTAGAATGTCTCTCAAAAAGTGTCCGGTTAGAAAGGACTTCTTTGAGGTCTTCTATCACCACATGACATCTCGAAGGACTTAAAGGAATATAAGACCTCTTAATGCTTTCCCATGTACGGGGCATATCATAAAGATTTTATATCTATAAAAGTTCTCCTAAAGGTTTTTTGTCTATCAAAGATCTCTAAAGAGTCGTTTATCCATAAAATACCACTTGAAGGGAGTCTTGCACAGAAGACCTCTTGAAAGTGTATATCTACAGAAAACCTCTTTAACGTCTTATATATATGGAAGGCCCGTTTTAAATCTCGAATAGTTAGAAGATCTGTTATAGGTTTTCTTTTCCGCAAAAGACTACGAAGGTCTAATTCCTTCCGTCTTCCTTTTTGGTCCAAAGAAAATCTCTTAAAGGTTTTCAGTATGGATTAAACCTCTTTAATGTCTTATTTATTTCAATGCATAGAAAACTCCTTTCTCTACTCACAGAAGACCTCTTGAAAGTTTTCTAAGTACCTAAAATACTTTGTAAAGGTTGTTAATCCCTAGAAGATCCCTTTGAGTTCCTATGTCCCCTGAAAACATCTTGAAGACCCCTTGAATGTAGCCTATTTATAGAAGGCTATTAAAAAGAAGACCTCATCAATGTTTTCTCTTTATAAGACCCAACTAATATCCCAAAGGTCTCTTTGAGGTTTTCAATACAAAGAAGTCCTCATCAAAGACTCTTTCTCAATCCATAAAATCCTCTTGAAGATACTCGTTCATAAAACGCCTCTAGAAGAAAACATCTAAAATATCTCATGTTTATCGAATACCAACCGATTTCTTTTTACTATCCATAAAAGAAGTCTTCAAAGTCAACTGTGCATCATGGGCCTCTGTTAGATCGTCTATTCGAAAAATAGCTCTTGAAGCCACCCTATCCATAGAGAACCTCTAAAATGTGTTCTGCCTATATAAGACCTCCTGAATGATTTCTACCTACAAAAAACCCTTTTAAGGCTTTTCATCTTAAGCCTCTTTAAGATGTTCAAAGCCCAGAAAACCTTCTTACATTCAAACCTTCTTATATTTCGAAAACCCCTTGAAAATCTCCATCCAAAAAAGACCTCTGCAATATCTCTCCATAAAAGACCTACTGAAGATTTCCTATCCACAAATGAACTTTCTAATGTATTCTCTATATAGTAGTCCTCTTTAAGGTATTCTACCTATGAAGGTAATACAACAAAGGCATGACAAAACCCAAAAGAGTGCTCGGCAAGAGTAGAATTTGCTGGATTTCGAACTAATTTCTCTCCCAAAGTATACTCTCCTTTTTCGAGGGAAACCGAAAAATAGAGTTTACTGGCTTTGTTTCTTCTACTCTTAGGAGTTCTCCCGCTCAATTTCACTATTTACTCGAATACGTGTGAGTTTTTCAAAGGTCTGTTCAGAATACAACTGGGAAATCTTTTACATAAAGAAAGACTAGAAAAACTTCCGACCAATAAAAACCTCATCTTAAGAATACCGGCGGGTTAAGGTCTAAGGAAGCCTTCTATCTATAGGTATTCCTTTGAAACATCAAGAACTTACACCGCAACAGAAAGAAAATGGACTCAAAATAGCTAAGGAGTTGCTTCGCTTGGACGAAAGTGGTGAACTGCTGAATTTGGGCACGCAAACATTTTGGCCACAGATCGTGGACATTCCAACAGGACTCAGCACCATCGCACTCAGCACGCGCCACCCAAGAATTGTTACAAAATGAGGTTCCTCGCTTCATTTCCAGCGCACAATGGCCACCAAAATCTCCGGATACTAATCCCTTGGACTATTGTGTCTGGAGTATTTTGGATAGCAAGGTTGGCACTAAAAAATACCAAAGTGTCGATCACCTCAAGCAAGTGCTTCGCCCGGAATGGGCCAAAATACCACAGAGCAAAATTCGGGCAGCGTGTGACGGTTTCATTGGCCGTTTGAAGACCATAATTCGTGCCAAAGATGACCAATTCGGACAAATCTAAACTTATTCTAAAATTTGATGCTATGTCCGATATTTTTTGCTTCATTCAATAAAAAAATGTAAAAATTATGGCGTGTGACTTTGTTGCAGTTTTTTATCTCACCCTGTATAGATGAAGGATGGTCTGTGGGTCCCTGCAAAAAGTCTCTAAAAACCCCACATTGCAGGCTTGGGAAGTCCTTGAAGCCGAGGTCTACTGGTTCTTGAAATACAACAATTTAACAGACCAACGCTGCTGGCCCTGGAAAAATAATCTTTATAAAACCTACGTTGTAGCCTTCGAGGGCCTTGATCTATTGACCTTTGAAAAGGAAATAATGTCCGGTAGTTCCGTTTTTTTACATATCTACTTTGCATATGGTTTGTTGGTCTTTGATCCTTAGATCCATGAAAAAATAATATTGTTGGTCTTTGAAACGGTTGGCCCTTGAGAAATAAACTTTTGAAAAATCCTTGAAAAGACAATCCGCATATCCTTGAGAAAATAATATTTAAAAATCCACCTCGAAGGCTTGGATTTTCTGTTAAAAGATTGTTTGTTGGTCTTTGAAAAAAGACGGTCTGTTGATCATTGAAAAATTAAATTTTAAAAAATCCTCCAAATTATGTTCCTTAGATCCTCGAAAAAAAAAATATTTTTAAAATTCCACGTTTATAGCTTGGATATTCCCCGGTGAATGCTTCGCTGGTCTATGAAAGATGAAAAAGTTTTCTTAAAAATCCATAGGATCAAAACACGACCCTTGAAAAAATAGGTTTTTTTATTTTTTTTTTTTAAAGGAAATGTTCTTAAAGATCCAAAAACCAATGAGGGAATGCTCCAGACTTAGGCAAGACGTCCATCTATAAAGGCCCCTGAAAAGCGTGCTTTTCAGAATCTTCTAACCATAGAAGAGATCTCGAAAAATTTCTATCTACATAAGATCTTTTGAATCTTCAAAATAATATCCCAACGACTTTACCTAAAGAAAATTTTTTAAAACCTCTTGAGGACCTCCGAAAACCTCTTGAGGCCCTTATATCTATTAATATACATTCTGAAGGTCTTCCATCTATGTTAGGTCTTTTTAAGGTCTTCCATTTATAGAAGACCTCTCTCGAAAATCTGCTAAGAAAAGAAAACCTCCTGAAGGTTTTCTTCCCATAGCGTGAATTTGTTTCAAGAAAGACCCCATTAGAAGCAAGGCCTTACTGGAAGACCTTTCCAGCTCCGTTCACCTTAACAGAACCGTTGTAATCAATAATTAGTTGTACTTACATTATCCACCCTTAGCAGTCGATCTCCGGGTTTAATCCTGCCCGTCTTGTATACCGGTCCATGTGGCCGTACATGTGTCACAATCAAGGGATAATCAGCACCTCCTCTCAGTGTCAGGCCCAGGCAGCCGCTTTCACGTTCCACTGTTATTTGAGCCAACTTCGATGTTACACAAAGGCTATTTTGGGAAACTATTGATGATGCGACGCCGGCATTGCGACCCATCGTTGGTTGTTTGGTTGGTTTTCCGTGTTGTTAGCGGTGATGATGGCAATGGCGTAATGATGTTCCGTTCAAAGTGTGTTGTTTGTGTTGGTTTTGTTGATGGAGTGCATTCAGCGGTGTTGAAAGATGAGACCGACATAAAACGTTTGTCGTCGAACAGCAGCAGCAGCAGCAGGAAGGCAGGCAGCATAGCACGCGTTTGTTTTATTCAAGAATTATGAATCCAAGTGTTATATCACAGCCGATCATGGTGTGAGATTTGTGAGGGTGCATACGATCATCATAAACATTAGGAAGTGCGATGTGGAGAAATAAAAAGAGAGAGAGATAGAGATGGAGTGAAAAATCGGAAATGCAATCAAAAGGGAAGAGGAATATAAATAAAAACAAAAATAAAAATGAAATAAATTTGAAACAAATTTGATTAATGACAAAATGTGAAGACATTGGCGAAGCCGGGTTTTATAGGGAGGGGTGTCCACATCACAAAATTTTATTGATTTGACTTTTTATTTTATTTTAATATTTTTTTTTTAATATATAGAAATCATTTATTTCCTGGCGATACCTATCCCCGCCAATATCTTCATCAAATCGAGATGATGTCCGTCAGTCCGTCCGTCTGTGGAAATTACTCTAGCTTCCGAACGAATTGAAGTACATTGATAAAATTTTACTCAAATGTATATTTTGTCTGCATGACTTTTGGTATTGAAAATGGGCCATGTAGGTCCACGTTTTGGTATAGCTCCCATATAAGGTACCTCCCGATTTTCGTTATTTTGATAAGTTTTGCGACAATATTCATCGGAATTGCTTCAAATTTGGTATTTTAAGTTTGAAATGGATGCTACAGCCTATGACAGAAAATTGTCTGTACAGGTCCACGTTTTGGTATAGACCCTATATAATGGTACCTCCTTTTTTCGGTATTTTGATGATTATAGCGACATTATTCAACGGAATTGCTACAAATTTGGTATGTCAAGTTCGTCATGGATACTACAGCCTATGACAGAAAATTGTCTGTGCAGGTCCACGTCTTCGTATGGCCCTCATATAACGGTACCTCCCGATGTTCGGTATTTTGATGATTTTAGCGCCATTTTTCACCGGAATTGTTTCAAATTTGGTATATGAAATTCGTAATAGATGCTACAACCTATGACAGAAAATAATCTATGCAGGTCCACGTCTTCCTATAGCCCCCATATAACGGTGTCTCCCGATATTCGGTATTTTGTTGATTTTAGCGACACTATTCACCGGAATTGTTTCAAATTTGGTATTTGAAGTTCGTAATAGATACTACAGCCCAAGACAGAAAATTGTCTGTGCAGGTCGATGTCTTCATATAGCCCTCATAAACGGTACCTCCCGATGTTCGGTATTTTGATGATTTTAGCGACATTTTTCACCGAAATTGTTTCAAATTTGATATTTGAAGTTTGTAATGGATACTATAGCCTATGACAGAAAATTGTCTGTGCAGCTCCATGTCTTCGTATAGCCCTCATATAAGGGTATCTCCCGATATTCGGTATTTTGTTGATTTTAGCGACACTATTCACCGGAATTGTTTGAAATTTGGTATTTGAAGTTCCTAATGGGTACTACAGTCTAAGACAGAAAATTGCTTGCGCAGGTCCACACCTTCATATAGCCTCCATATAACGGTACCTCCGGATATTCGGTATTTTGATGATTATAGTGACATTATTAACCGGAATTATTTCAAATTTGGTACTTGACGTTCGTAATGAATACTATAGCCTATGACAGAAAATTGTCTGTGCAAGTCCACGTCTTCGTATAGCCCCCATGTGACGGTACCTCCCGATATTCGGTATTTTGATGATTATAGCGACATTATTTATCGGAATTGTTTCAAATTTGGTATTTGAAGTTCGTTAAAGATGTTGCAGCCTATGGCCGAGAATTGTCTATGCAGGTCCATGTCTTCGTATAGCCCCCATATAACGGTACCTCCGAATATTCGGTATTTTGATGATTTAAGCGACGTTATTTACCGGAATTATTTCAAATTAGGTATTTAAAGTTTATAATGGATACTACAGCCTATGGCAGAAAATTGTCCGTGCAGGTCCACATCTTCGTATAGCTCTCATATAACGGTACCTCCCGATATTCGGTATTTTGTTGATTTTAGCGACACTTTTCACCGTAATTGTTTGAAATTTGGTATTTGAAGTTCGTAACAAAAACTACAGCCTATGGCAGAAAATTGTCTGTGCAGGTCCACGTCTTCGTATAGCCATCATACAACGGTAGCTCCCGATATTCGGTATTTTGATTATTTTAGCGACATTATTTACCGGAATTGTTTTAAATTTGGCATGTGATGTTCGTAATGGATACTACAGCCTATGACAGAAAATTGTCTGTGCAGCTCCATGTCTTCGTATAGCCCTCATATAACGGTACTCCCGATATTCGGTATTTCGATGATTTTATTCACCGATTTGTGTTTTCAAGTTTCGCATTTGAATATTTTTGTGGCTTATGACAAAAGTTGCCTATGCAGGTCCACGTCGTCGTATAGACCCCAATATAACGGTTACCTTCGGTATTTTTAAGATTTTAACAGAATTTTTTAACGGATTTTATTTTTTTTAAAAATTACCAAATTCGTTCCAGATGGTGGAAGGCATTCAGAATTCGTCCCGACCGAACTGACAACTTTTTTTTCTTGTTATTCACAAAATCGTTTTTATTTTTTTCCCCCAGCTGCTTGGGGATAACTCCAGCCCAGGAGAGACCTATCCATGCCAATATCCTCACCAAAGTTTTAAAAGTCATAAAAATCAAAATTCAATTTCTTCCCAAATAACCCAACATTGTTGCAACCACCCACTGTTGTGGCATTTATGTTTTTACTCACTGTACTCTGGCAGGGAATATTCAATTTCAACGACGGCAGGACCATCTGCTGAGCCACCGCCGCACAGCATGCTCATAATGTGTTGATTTGTTAACCCAATTGTTGAGATGCCATCGATTTGGTGGAGACGATCTCCAGGTGCTAGGAAATCGGCAGCATGACCCAATGGACTTAGGGCAGCAATAACAGGTGGATACGAAAGGTCGTTGCGTTCTGCAAAACAAAGAGAGAAAAATAAAAAATTAATGAAATCGAAAAAAGAAAACATAAACAATAACAAAGTGCATGTAAACAAAAGAACTATGAGGCCCGAGTGGCTGACATTATTCGATAATTGTTTAGAGTGGCGGAGGCGAGTGGTTAAACACTATTTGTTCTCCGGTCTTTGTGAATGTTTCCTTTCCTCTGCAGGGCAACATATCTTTGGCCATGGTATATCTGCAAGATTTCATCTATTAGATGATACATGCTGCTGATGATGGTGGTGGCCTCACGCCTTAACTTGCCGCACGTCTGCTGTTTGTTCTTGTCTTAAATTTCAATTTAAATAAATAAATCTCCCCCGGCTGTCTGCCTGTCTTTGTGTTGTTTTCTTTTCGTTTAACTGGTTCTTATTGAAAATTACGTACATATTGTGCCAAATTTTTAAATATATATTTTTTTCTGTTTGTGTGTTGTTTTTGTGCCATTCATGCCGAGTCAAAATGTGGTCACTTCCGTTATGTTCGGTGTGTTTGTCTGGCAAGTTGAGACGATAGTCGATTTGGCAAACGACGACATATATATGTATAATAGATACGTAATGTATAATAGGGAAGTGTATTTGAAAAGTTTGAAACATATATCTCAGCATATCGCATGTGAGGCCTTGTATGATAAGCCTTCATTATATATCATGGTGATATTTTACTATATCCTCTATGATACTTTGGAGGGCATACTAAGTTCGCCACTCAGTTTGTAACTGCACGTTATAAGCATTTTAGACCCCACAAAGTATATACAGAGTGAGATGAAAAAAACTGCAACCGACTACAGACTGCTGTCATTTCTAATCCACTCGTCCGACAGCTGTTAAAATTATTCCAGGGACAGCTCATTATATTGTCTATAAGCGTACAATAGCCTTTTTGGTGAGAATTTTCCAGAAAAAAAATTATTCGTGATGGAATTCAAGCGTGATAGAGTGATTCCTTTATATTTGGCTGGAAGACCACAAGTGGCTATCGTTAGAGGACTATAGCATTTAAATGTGAATAAATCTTGTGTGTCTCGTACCATCGCTGTTTACCGTATGGACGGAACGGAAAGTGGACGAAAGACAACAGCAACATCAGCAGAAATGGTTCGAAAAGTAAAGAAGCGACTTGATCGAGACCCGCATCGCAGTGGCCGAAAAATGGCTAGTCAGCTGAACATATCGCAATATTCCATTCGGCAAATATTGAAAAATGAGCTCGAGCTAAAGTCATTGTAATTTCAACAAGTTTGAATAACCTCCACCATTCGGAACAAATTTGGAAATTTAAAAAAAAATAAAATCCTTAAAAATTCTGTTAAAATTTTTAAAATACCGAATATAGCCGTTATATTGGGGTCTATACAAGGTGGACCTACATAGGTATTGTTTGTCATAAGCCTTTACCATATTCAAATTCGAAACTTGAAATAAACGGTAAATAATGTAGCTAAAATCATCAAAATATCGTATAAAGAGAGGTGCTATGGTATATCGGAGCTATGCGAAGACCTGAACGAGCATGCGATATTCAAATACAACATCTCAAACAATTTCGGTGGGTATTGTACCTAAAATCGTCAAAATACCGAATATAGGGAGATACTGATATATGGGGCCTATATGAAGACCTGGACCTGCATAGATAATTTTCTGTCACAGACTGTAGTTCCCATTACGAACTCTAAATACATAATTTGAAATAATTCTGGTGAATAATGACGCTAAAATCCTCAAAATACCGAATATCGGGAGGTACCCTTATATAGGGGCTATACGAAGACGTGGACCTGCACAGAAAATTTTTTGTCATAGGTTGTAGTGATTGTTTCGAACTTCAAATACCAAATTTAAAACAATTCCGTTAAATAATGTCGCTAAAATCATCAAAATACCGAATATCGGGAGGTACTGTTATATGGGGGCTATACGAAGATCTGGACCTGCATACAACATTTTTGCCATGAACTGTAATACCCATTAGGATCTTCCATTACGAAATTTGAAACGATTCTGGTAAATAGTGTTGCTGAAATAATTAAAATACCGAATATCGGGAGGTACCATTATATGGGGGCTATATGAAAACATGGACCTACATGGCCCATTTACGAACTTAACCTGCCTTCTGGAAAAATAAACATGTGTGCAAAATTTTAGCCTTCTATCGCAATTCGTTCGAAGGATAGCGTGACCAGTCGATGGTCGCTCTCCGCTAATAATAAATATCAACTGTGGCATCGGAATAAATACCGAATATTATAGCGAAAATGTTCTGAAGGGTGTATTAATGCCTTGGGCACGTTAACATTTTGGCCCCAGACCTTGGACAATCCAACAGGACTCAGCAGCATCGCACTCAGCACGCGCCACCCAAGAATGGTTACAAAATGAGGTTCCTCGCTTCATTTCCAGCGCAAAATGGCCACCAAAATCTCCGGATACCAATCCGTTAGACTTTAGTGTCTGGAGTATTTTGGAAAGCAAGGTTGGCACTAAAAAATATCAAAGTATCGGTCATCTCAAGCAAGCGCTTCGTCGGGAATGGGCCAAAATACCGCAGAGCAACATTCTGGCAGGGTGTGACTATTTCATTGGCCGTTTGAAGGCCATAATGCGTGCCAAAGGTGGCCAATTCGCACAAATCTAAACTTATTCTAAAATTTGATGCTTTTCCGACATTTTTTGCTTTCATTCAATAAAATTAAAAAAAAAATGTAAAAATTATGGCGTTTGACTTTGTTGCAGTTTTTTATCTCACCCTGTATAGAAGAAGGGTGGTCTGTAGGTAGGTCCCTGAAAAAACGTTTCTAAAAACCCCATATTGCAGGCTTGGGAAGTCCTTGAAGCCGAGGTCTACTGGTTCTTGAAATACAACAGTTTAACAGACCAACGTTGCAGGCTTGGAAAGTCCTTGAAAATGGCCTGCTGGCCCTGGAAAAATAATCTTTATAAAACCTACGTTGTAGCCTTCGACAGCCTTAGTCTATTGAAAAGGAAATAGTGTCCGATAGGTCCGTTTTTTTTTTTATATATTTACTTTGCATATGGTTCGCTGGTCTTTGATCCTTAGATCCATGAAAAAATAATATTAAAAAAACAAGGTTGTAGATTTTGATAAGGACAATCAATCAATCAAACAGGGGTTGTTGGTCTTTGAAACGGTTGGCCCTTGAGAAATAAACTTTTGAAAAATCCTTGAAAGGACAATCCGCATATTCTTGAGAAAATAATATTTAAAAATCCACCTCGAAGGTTGGAATGGTTTGTTGGTCTTTGAAAAAAGACGGTCTGTTGATCCTTGAAAAAATAAATTAAAAAAAATCCTCCAAATTATGTTCCTTAGATCCTCAAAAAAAATGATTTTTATAATTCCACGTTCATAGATTGGATGTTCCTCGGTGAATGCTTGGCTTGTCTATGAAAGATGAAAAAGTATTCTTAAAAATCCATTGATCCACGATTCTTGAAATAAATATTTTTTTAAAGGTTTTTAAAGAAAATATTCTTAAAGATCCAAAAAGCCAATGAGGGCCCCTGAAAAGGGTGCTTTTAAGAATCTTCTAACCATAGAAGAGCTCTCGAAAAATGTCTAACTACAAAACATTTCTTGAGTCTTCAAACTAATATTCCAACGATTTTATCTACAGAAATTTTTTAAAAACCTCTTGAGGACCTCCGAAAACCTCTTGAGGCCCTTATATCTATTAATATATATTTTGAAGGTCTTCCATCTACGTTACGCCTTTTTAGGGCCTTCCATTTATAGAAGACCTATCTCGAAAATCTGCTAAGAAAAGAAAACCTCCTGAAGGTTTTCTGTCCATAGCGTAAATTTGGAAAATTAATCTTCATAAAACCTACGTTGTAGTAGTAGGAAATAATGTTCGGTAGGTCCTTGAAATCATTTTTTTTACATATTTACTTTGCATATGGTTTGTTGGTCTTTGATCCTTAGATCCTTGATAAAATAATATTAAAAAACCAAGGTTAAAGATTTTGATTGTCCATAAAAATATGTATGTTGGTCATTAAAATGGTTGGCTCTTGAAGAAAAAAACCTTTTGAAAAATCCTTAAAAGGTCAATCTGCATATCCTTGTGATAGTAAGATTTAAAAATCCACCTCGAAGGCTTAGGTTGTTTTTTAAAATATGGTTTGTCTGTCCTTAAAAAGCTGTTCTGTTAATCCTTGAAACATTAATTTTTAAAAAAATCTCTGAATTATGTTCCTTATATCCTTAAAAATGTTAGGCCTCTTTAAGGCTATTATCGACATTTTTTGCTTTCATTTAATAAAATTTAAAAAAATATATATAAGAGTTATGGCGTTTGAATTTGTTGCAGGTTTTTTTTTTCTAAGATATTTCCAAATTCTCCTTTATTTTGAAACATCTCAATATATTTCGAGTATTATTCATTTTCAATGACCACGAGACCGTTTGAAGAAATTAAATATTTGCCGGTAATTTGGTAATAAGAGAAGAAGGCAGAAAATTGTGTTTTTTTCTCTTTCGTATTTTCTTTGCCAATCGTGGCGGGGTGGGATGAAGAATATTCTGACATTTTTTTCGTGTGACGAATCGTTTTCGGTGCAATTGCCAATTCGTTTGCTGTTGTTGTTGTTCTTTTTGTTGTTTTTCTCAATTTTCTTTTATACTTGGTGGGATTCATTCAATTGCATTGATGTGATGTGATGATTTTTCATACTTTAGATTACGTTTTATTTTCAGTTTTTACGCATGGATAAGATGTCGCCAAGGAAATCTGTTTGGCTAGACAGTCAGAGCGAAGGTATATTGGGGTGTGCTGAGTAGAGGGAGGTTATCTGTATGAATTTAGAAAATATTATGGGAAATTGCAACTGAAAATAAAATAATTAAAGGACACTCTTGAAGATCTACAAAAATCAGGGGTAAAATTCAGGCATTCGACATCGAAAAAATTCTACAGAAAGAAATATTTGTATGCTTCGC